CATTTACACCAGCTGGGTGAATTTGAGAGCCAATTTATCCACTCCAAGGCTCCCACAAGTGTCCTAAAGTGAGGATGGTGATCATTTCTCCTCTGACCCATTTAAAAAGATGATGTATGCACAATGCTTGGCACGCCAGCACCAGGCCCTTGAGGAACAACCAGAGAAATGGGTAGAGCGTGGCAGTTAGATATGTGGGCCTCAGCTCCTGAGGGCCAGCTGTCTTCCCCGGAGGCCCTGTCTGTGGCTAAGAGATGGAAACTCCACATCACCTTCTGGAAACTTAGGGCAAGGCGGGAGCTTTGTGAATAACTCACCTCCTCCTGGTTTCCGCTCAAAGCCCCAGTCTTGGCCTCAGGCCTCTGGCTTCTACCCCAGAACCTTGGGGTGGGGGGAAAGGGACGCCCCCAACGTCTCTTTCCCTGTCCCATTGGTTTCCTTCCCCCATAAGCTTCCCCTCCCTCAGCTGCCTCCCCTCCCCCATTTGCTTCCCCTATCCTGGTTCTCCTTCCCAATTCTTTCCCCTTTTCTCTCCTCTGTCTTTCCCTTCCCATCCCTGTCTTCTTCCTATCTCTGTCTGCCCCTGCCCCAGCTTTGTCTCTGCCATCAGTTGTCTCTCATTGCCTTCAAGTTTTGATCTCTCCTGTCTGTCTCTATCCCCTTTTCTCTCTTCACATCCCTCTTCCTGACTCCCCCTGTCTCTGTCCATCTCCCCCATGACTCTCCCCTCCTCTGTCTCTTGGACTCTCTCTCCCTTCTGTCAGTTCTTCTCTATGACTTATGAGGTTTCTTCTCTGCTGCCAATGGAGGAAGCTGGAGGGGACTGCGGGTGGGGGGCCATGGGGCCCAGTGGGGGGGGGCCCAGCCCAGGCCTGGAGCCCAGCCTGGCAGCCTCTCTCAGATCTGGGACGACCATTTCCTCTTTCAGCCCGGGAGTCCACTCGGGTTACGAGTTCAGGACGGTAGGAACTGGGCGAAGAGGACTGCTTCCCGAGACTGTATCTGGAGGTCAGTGAGGCCTTTGTGCAGGTGGGAGACCCTAGTCCAGGCTCTGGGGGGCTATACGTGAGTCTCTTTGTACCTCTGAGAAATGACTGCATGCTTACTTTTGCCTGTTTTGTCCCTGCAAGATTTGGCCTGAGGATGTGACGCTGTGTGTGGGAGACAAATGGGAACATGTTCACTGTGGCGGGCAGGTGGGCGGGTGCCAGAGGTTCACTGTACACCTAGTTAGCACCTCTGTGCTTGCCAGCGTGAGACCCTGTGTGCCTGGGTGTGTATGTGTCTGACACAGAACAGATGTACTCCACCCACAGGGTGTTTTCCTTTAAGTCGTGGTGTGTGTGTGTGTGTGTGTGTGTGTGTGTGTGTGTGTTTGTGACTATATTTTGGACACACAGTTGCTGCTGGAATCTGTGCTTTGTTTCCAGGTGTGTCTTTATATGTGTCCATGCCAGGCAAATCCGCAGATACACACACACACACAGATTCCATCTGTCTATCTTTGTGGCTCTGTGCAGGGGTCCCCATGTCTCATTGGATATCCGTGTGTCTTTGTGTCTGCACTGTTACAGGCGCCTGGGTGTGTGTGAGGGTTGTGGTTATTCGTGTGTGAATGTTGGAGCCAAGTTACCGGGGCTGAGTCCCATCATTCTCCAGCCATGTGGCTGCAGACAAGTCACTCACCCTCTCGCACACTCAGTTTTCCCTGTTGTAAAATGCGGCTGCCTACAGGAGAGACCAGCGCTGGTTTTGGAAGACTGAGATTAAAGGTGTGGAGTCGAGAGTCGTGTCTGATGCAGCAGGTGCTGCTGATCTGATGTCTGCTGTTGTTGTCTTTCTCTGTGGTGTGTGCGTGTCGGAGGTTGGAATCCCGCTAGCCTCCCGGGGCCTGCAGCCTCCCACGCTCTGTGCTCTGCTGTGGGGGAACGTCCGGAACGCTGACCTGTGTTATCAGGCTCTGGTGGCCTGGGCAGGGGGATCTGGCAGTTCTGCCTCGGTTCTCATGCGGGAAATGCTAAATATTTACAGTTGGAACTCCCAGGCTCAGCACCACAGCTCTCATCCCAGGCTCTGGGGCGACCAGCCTCCTCCCTCCTGCTCTCCCACCAGCCTCTCCCCATCCTCACTTAGGCGCTCCTGTTGGACCTTCAGCTGCTCCTGGGTCTCCTTGTGCCTGCTTCGAGCCTTGCCAGACGCAGCGTCTTGGTCCTGAGAGGTGAGAGGTGAGAGGGCGGGAGGGCAGGAGGGCAGGTGGAGGCTGATTTTGTCTGTTGGGAGACCTGGGCTTCCCTAGGCCTCCCTCTTACCCCGGGTTGAGATCCTGGAAGGCGGGGGATGTTGCACATATGCAATCTGGCTCCAAGGGGGGTGGTCCATCCCTGTTGTGGGGGGCCTGGTGTCTTCAAGGAGGGGGCAAGGAGAGCTCCTGTTTGGTGTGCGACTATGAGGGTGAGCAAGCCTTTCTCCAGCTCAAAACCCTCTGGGGTTCCCACCTCATTCAGGGAAAAAGCCCAGGTCCTCTTGAGGCCCACAAAGCCCTGCCCATTTTGCCCCGTTCCCTCCCTGCCCTCAACTCCTCCCGCTCTACCCCTTGCTCACTCTGTTCCAGTCTTACAGGCCTCCCTGATGTTCCTTGGGCACATCAAGCAAGGTCCTAGCTCAGGGCCTTTGCACTTGCTGTTCCCTCTGCCAGGAATGTTCTTACCCTTCTCTCTTTCTACAGGTCTTTGCTCGAGTGGCATCTTCTTCCCCCCCCCCTTTTTTTTTAAAGGTTATTTATTTATTTGACAGACAGCGATCACAAGTAGGCAGAGCAGTGGGCAGAGAGAGAGAGAGAGAGGAGGAAGCAGGCTCCCTGCTAAGCAGAGAGCCCGATGTGGGGCTCGATCCCAGGACCCTGAGATCATGACCTGAGCTGAAGGCAGAGGCTTTAACCCACTGAGCCACCCAGGCGCCCCTCAAGTGGCATATTCTTAGTGAGTCTTGACCCCGTTTAAAATGGCCCCTCATCCGGGGACTCCCACCCCCTTCCTTGAGTGTTCTCCTAAACACTTAACACCCTCTGCCCTACCCCCCATCTGCTTTCCCCACCGAGATGTTGGCTCCATGAAGGCAGGGATTTTTTTGTGTGTCTGTATTGGTCATGGCTGTGTCCCCATTGGCTGGAACAGCTCTCGGCACACAGTAGGCATTAAAGGAGTGCTTGGTCAATGTGTGAACAAGGCAATGTGTGTGACAATGAAGACCCCAGGGCACGAGCCTGTGTGACCACCAGGATGTCTGGCTTTGGACATAGTGGGACTTGGAAAATACGGGGGTGATGTGTGGACACCTGTGACATGTTCTGAGTGTGGGCAAGTGCATGCGGGAGGCACGCATGTCCTTAGTCTGAGAGGCTGTAGGTAGGTGAATCCCAAGAATGAAGGCCATGGGGGCCAGGCTAGGAGGCCTCTGTGCATGCCCTCAAGGGAAGATAATTACAGGAGCTCACCTATGTGAGCCAGGGAACACGTGGGAGGATGTAGCTGACCTGGGGCTTGTGGGTGCTGAGGGGTGTGTGGGTGGCACAAGGCACGGGACAAAACCCAGACTCAGCCTCTGAGAGCTGATGTTTTGGTGGAGGAATTCAGATCATAAACAATGGCAAACAAGTGAGGCAATTTCAAAGTGACAAATGCTGAAATGAAAAAGTTGGACTGTGACAGGGAGCGCCCAGGAGGAGCAAAGCTAAATGGGGTTGTCAGGGAGGGCTTCTGAGGAGGGGACATGTGAGCTAAGACCCAAATAAGGAAAGAGGGGGAGCCATGTGAAAATTCTAGGAAGAATGCTCTAGAGTGAGGAAATAGCAAAGGCCCTGAGGCAGGACCATCCTTGTTGTGTTTCAGAAGCAGCAAGGAGGTCAGTGTGCCTGGAACAGAGTGAGTGAGGGGTGAGTGGGAGGGAGAAGAGGGCGGGGACGGGATAGGAAGAGGGTGCAGGGCTTTGTTGGGCACAGAAAGACCTGGGCTTTTGCTCTGAGTGAGCTGGGGACCACGAGGGGTTCTAGGAAAGGGAGACACATGGCCTGACTCTGGCAGCTATGGGAGAAACAGACCAGAGGTTGATGACAGACAACTGGAGGCCTGGGGGGGCAGCTGCTATAAGGAAATCCAGATGGAGTCTGGAGCTGGGATCATGTTGGAGGGTGATGGCTGTGCGGGACGTGGAGGAATTCAGGGCCTAAACAGAAGAGCTGACAGGCCTGGCTGATAGGTTGGATCTGCTGTGAAGAAAGAGGAGACAGGGATGGTTCTGGGGTTTTGGTCTGAGGATGTGGGAGATGGGGTGTCTGCTACTAGTCTGAGTTAGTGAGACTTAACCTCTCACCCCACCTCACCTCTTCCCACCCATTCTCCCTCTGCTTCTGCTCCAGCCTCCCAGGAACAGTCTAGCCTCAGGGCCTTTGCATTTGCTGTTCCCCCTGGCAGGGATGCTCTTCATCCTCAGACATCCTCATTACTTTCTCCCTCACTTCCTTCAGGTGTTTATTCAAATGTCACCTCCTCCAGGAGGTCTTCCCTCCTTTCAAATTGCCTGGGACGGATCCCCACATCTCTCCACTATTTACTGCTATCTTAGCACCATCTAATACACTATATTAATTCCTATAGTTTATTGACCTTGTTTTTTGCCCAAGAGGGCAAGAATTTTTGTGTTTTGTTCCCTACCGTATTCCTTAGAACTGAGGCTGGAACACAGCAAGCACTCAGTGAACGCTTGTTGAATGAATGCACGACATGATGTCCCACAGGGCGCCTGGAACTCAATGGAGTGGCCGGGGTGGGATCCCATTTGGGCATTTCCAGCCAGGTGGCGGGGGGGGGGCGGTGCGGAGGGGCTCGGCGGGGAGGCGAGCCTGCGTGGACCTGGAGCAAAGCAGGTTCGGCCCAGCCAGAGAGCTGGGGGCCCAAGCTAGGCTCGGGGGGCTGCCCTCCTTCCCGTTCGTCCTCTGCCTGCAGGTCTGCCATGTGGGCGCCTCCGCTGCGCACGCTGCAGCTGCTGCTCCTGCTGGATGCGACGTGGGCGCGGGCAGGCGCCCCGCGCTGCACCTACACCTTCGTGCTGCCGCAGCAGAAGTTCACGGGCGCCGTGTGCTGGAGCGGGCCGTCTGCCGCGCGCCCGGCCGCGGAGGCCGTGAACGCCAGCGAGGTAGCGGCGCTGCGCATGCGCGTGGGCCGCCACGAGGAACTGCTGCGCGAACTTCAGCGACTGGCCGCGGCCGACGGCGCCGTGGCGGGAGAGGTGCGCGCGCTCCGCAAAGAGAGCCGCGGCCTGAGCGCGCGCCTGGGCCAGTTGCGCGCGCAGCTGCAGCACGAGGCGGGCCCGGGGGCGGGGCCAGGCCCGGGGCCCGAGCCCGCTGCGGTGCTGGCGCTGCTTGGGGAGCGCGTGCTCAACGTGTCAGCAGAGGCGCAGCGCGCCGCAGCCCGCTTCCATCAGCTGGATGTCAAGTTCCGGGAGCTGGCGCAGCTGGTCACCCAGCAGAGTGGCCTCATCGCCCGCCTGGAGCGCCTGTGCCCGGGGGGCACGGGCGGGCAGCAGCAGGTAACCTCTAAGCTCGCCAGGAGTCGTAGCCGCTTCCTGTGTGCAACATTTTTAAGACGGGGCTCCTGCGACCCCACGCGCGATCTCTGATCCGCAGTTTTGAAATCCGAAAAGCTCCCCAAACCGGATTCCGACCTCACCTCCCACAGCTCATTTGGGTCAGAACGCGACTGTGGCCACTTAAAATCATTATTTATCCACTTAATATAAATATTCGTAGAGTCTGTAATCAAGCATATTATTATGTAAAGACTAAAGACCCATGTTATGGAGGTGTTATGCTATTAGATGTCTGTCCTATGTTACTCTTTCTAAATGCTGCCATATTATCCTTAATTCTGGAACATGGCTGGTCCCAATTTTGAGTAAGATTGTTGCTCTGTGACAACCCACACCTTACAGGGCTGTTGGGAGGATTCCAAGTTAATACTTATTATTGGAGGTACTCAACTCATTATCTCTACTTTGCAGAAAAGGAGCGTCAGAGGCACAGATCAGTTCAGCTGTGAATTTAGGCCCAGCTGTGCTCTTGAAAGCTAGAGTTAGGCTTTGGGGAGTATCATTTCTAGGGCTAGGACATGGCCCTGCCTGATCTCCCACCTATCTGGGTGTTGGGGGATTTAGGGCCCCAGTATCTTTTCAACTGAAGGCTACTGCGGTCACATCTGAGTCTCTTGGTCATCCCAGGTCCTGCCACCACCCCTGGCGCCTGTGGTTCCTGTCAGTCTGGTGGGTGGCACTAACGACACCAGCAGAAGGCTAGACCCAGCTCCAGAGCCCCAGAGAGACCAGACCCTGAGACAGCAGGGCCCCTTGGCCTCTCCCATGCCCGCAGGGCACCCTGCTGTCCCCACCAAGCCAACAGGTAAGATGAGGGCAGGGCTGTTGAGGGTGTGAGGAGCTAGGGGATTCCAGTGCAGTGGATAGAGGGAAATAGGAGCCAGAATTTTAATGGCCGATTTCTCTCATGGTAAGGAGACCAGAGGAAATGATGCTTTTATTCTGGTGATGGAACAAGGAGCTATGACTCTCATTCTGACAAAGACCAAAATTCTTACTGTGGTATGAGAACAGGGAAGGAGGTACTCTTCCTTTGATGAGAGGACAGGGAATTTAGGACTGCCTATTGGTGAACATTTAAGCTAGTTCTGAGTGTCATGTTCAGGATTTCTATTCTGATGAGACTGTAGAACCAGGATTTAAGTACCCCAGGCTCCGTATTTGCTGTAGTGAGAAAAGAATGAATTAGAGTTTTAACTCAGGTAAGGAAATGGATATTAGGGCTTTTATTTTGGTCAGGGAGTGGGAGAGGCAAGACTGCTATTCTGGTGAGGGGATGAGGTGAGAATCAGGACTCATCTCAATAAGGGGTTGGTTAGTCTGGGCTCTGCCTTCCCCCATCTCTGTACCCACAGGTCCGTGGCAGGATTGTGCAGAGGCCCACCAGGCGGGCCACAGGCAGAGTGGTGTGTATGAGCTGCGACTGGGCCGGCATGTAGTATCAGTGTGGTGTGAGCAACAGCTGGAGGGTGGAGGCTGGACGGTGATCCAAAGGCGGCAAGACGGCTCTGTCAATTTCTTCACCACCTGGCAGCACTACAAGGTGGACGCAGGCAGGTAGGGGGAGGGCTGGGCAGAGGGTGGGGGACCTGTTTCTGACCTTCTGACTTCCCTGTCCTGCCAGGTGGGCTTTGGGCAGCCTGATGGGGAATACTGGCTGGGCCTGGAACCTGTGCATCAGCTGACCAGCCGTGGGGACCATGAGTTGCTGGTGCTCCTGGAGGACTGGGGAGGGCGTGGGGCACGAGCCCATTATGATGGTTTCTCCTTGGAGCCTGAGAGTGACCACTATCGCCTTCGGCTTGGCCAGTACTATGGAGATGCTGGAGACTCTCTTTCCTGGCACAATGACAAGCCTTTCAGCACCGTGGATAGGGACCGAGACTCCTATTCTGGTAAGGAGCGCTCTTATTCTGGTGGGGAGTGGGGAAGGGAGGTGGGACTCCTAGGGAGGAAATGAATGAAAAGTGGGCTGAAACTTCCCTCTGATAAGGATCAGGGTAAGCAAGAGAACAGAGAGCACTTTTATTCTGGTGAGGGGATGGAAAGCCTAGATTCCTTCTTTGATGAGGCAAATTCTTTCCTAATAGAGTCAAGATTCCTGTTCTGGTGAAAGGCAGGGACTGAGAGCTAAAAATCTTACTCTAGAAAGGAAGTAGGTGATCCCCCCCCCCCAAAAGGTAGAGCTCCTGGTTTCCAGAAAAGGGTGGAAAAGGTGTAACTTGTACTTTGGTAGGGTGACAGGGAAGGAATTAAAGATATTACTCTAAAAAAGAAAATGGGGGCCAGGGTTCTTACTTTGGGGAGGAGAGAGAGGACCTCAGGGTTGTGTTCAGTAAGAGTGAGGAAGGCCAGGGGACGCCTGACGAAAGCCTTGCACTAGTGAGGTAGTGGAAGAAGCTTTTATTTTGGTGACAGGATATGCGGTTTCTCTCTTCTCAGGTAACTGTGCCCTGTACCAGCGGGGAGGCTGGTGGTACCACGCCTGTGCCCACTCGAACCTCAATGGCGTGTGGCACCGCGGTGGCCATTACCGCAGCCGCTACCAAGATGGTGTCTACTGGGCTGAGTTTCGTGGCGGGGCTTACTCTCTCAAGAAGGCTGCCATGCTGATCCGGCCCCTGAGGCTGTGACCATCTGTCCATCCATCCCCTGGGTCCCAGGGAACATTTGTCAGCAGGAGCCCACGTTGTTCTGGCCTCACTTGCTTTGTGACATGGCGTGGGCCACATCCCATAGCCCATCCTGGTGTGGATTTGCTCCCCGGCCCTGAAAACGGGACCCAGGAATCCCCCTGCCCATCTCTCAGACCCAAATGGCTCCCCGAGGGCGTTTCGATCTCAGTTTGAGCTCATATTTTATAACAACACAAAATCTCCACAGAGTGTGTCTGGCTTGCATCTGCCCCTTGTCTGGGTCACTCCCTGGGCCCACCCTCCTCCTCATCATCGTCATCTTCTTCCAGCTCCTCCTTTAGGTCCTCCAGGATGAGGTTGTCCAGGTCTTCTAGGAGGCCCCCCTGGCTCAGGCAGGTGGCCACCGTGGAGCCACTGCTGATGTGGGGGTTGCTGGGGTGCAGGACTTTGGGTAGGTGGTTCTGCTTCCGGCTCTTGGGGTGTGCGCAGGACGTCCCAGGCATGTGGGGCTCTGGGGAGGGAGAGGTTCTGAGACCGTGGAGCCTGAGGCCACCCAAGAGTCTGGGGGCAAAGGGACTGTAGCCATGGGGCGCTCAGGAGAGGGGAGGGACCTGGGCCAGAGCCACAGGAAACTCAGAAATGCAAGTTATAGGTATTGAAGCCACAACAGACCCAGGGACATGGGCATCACCTGAGACTACAGGACACAAAACAGGAACCAAGAACACAGACCACCAGGGCAGAGGCTGAGGTCATGAACATGGTGAAACCACCAAGCCTCAGGGCCAAGACCACAGAACATGGCTGACGGCTATTAGGATCATGGTCTTGGGTGGCCTGGTGTTGGGAGGCCACGGAAGATGTGAAAGGAGGGGCCGATGCCATGGGACGCGCTAAGTGGCTCTGGGGACGGAGGCCTTAGGAGGCACGTGGAAGAAGCAGGCAGGCACCTTGGTACTAAGGCCCCAGAGGTGGATGTCCCCGGAGTCAAGGTCAAGTAGGCTGCCCTGAGTGGAGGGAGGTCATGGGGGACATGCAGGGCCCTCACCTCGCCGGTTGTAGCAATCGGCAGCCGAGCAGGAGTGGGTGTGGGTGCTGCGGCGATCCGTGTCCCGGTCCCAGCGCGGAGGGAGGATCCGTGTTGGATACACGGGGAAGCCGCACCCATAGCAGGGGGATGAGGACCCCATCTGTGCCCAGCCCCTGGGGGCGGGGCAGGGTCATGAGGGTCCAAAGGTAAGGCCGGGGGCAGGGTGGGACCAGGGCAGGGCTGGGGGTGGGGTGGGGTGGGGGTGGGGCTTGGGTGGGGATCAGCACCCTCACCGGAAGTTGTGCCGACACCTCGGGCAGTGGAACTCAGCCACACCCCACATCTTGTCACAGGGCACCGGCTCATAGCGCTTTCGACACTTCCTGCACCGGGACACCTGGGCATGTAGAGTGGGGAGCAGGCTCTTGTCAGAGGGGCGCCCCTGGAACTTGATACTGGCAGTGGGAATAGGTACCCCATGGAAACTGACAAATGCTACAAATCTGGGGTTCTCCCCCCACCTCCCTGCACTAGCTGGGCTACTAAGCATTTACCAGAAGCACACCACTGATCAGCGGTTCCAAATCCAGACCTGGGATTGTGGTTTTGGGGTCAGGTTTGATTTCGGTGGCAGCTGTCAAAACTGTGGAGCCAGAGGTGGGGCTCTGAGGTAGGGGTGGAGCTGGAGGGCCGGAGGGATGGGGTCTGAGATGGAGACCGAGCTCCGAGATTGTGGGTGAGGGATTGGGCTCTTGGGGTTGATACTCTCAAGTCAGAAGTATGGGTACCGAGAAGGGGGATTGGGTCATTACCTCCTTCCGCTGCGGTACGCGCCGCCACCAAACGTGATCACAGGAGGAGCAGGCGAACTGCCGATCCACGGCGGGAATGAGGTCTTCCTGGGCTCGCTGGAACATGCGGAGGTTGGCTTCTGTCAGGGGCAGGAGGGAGGTCGCCACGGCCTGCAGGATGGGGACAAAAGGGAGGTCACGCCTCACTGTGAACCTAAACACACATCAGCCCTCTTCCCTCTTCCCTCTCCTCATCCACGGATGCCCTCCACTCTCCCCGCCTGTGGATGTCCTCCTCTACTCTACCTACTGCTGTCCCATACCCTGGACTCACCTGGATGTCCTGGTCCTGCTTCATGTCCTCCGGTGGGTCCTGGGTGGAGACATCAGGGGCAGAAAATGGGGACGCAGCTTGGACCTCTTTTTACTATTATTTGTTGGGGCAGAGCGGCCAGGTTCTGGCCCCATATGAGTAGGGAGTCCCTAACTCGGGAGGAGCTTAGAGAAGGTCAGGTGCATGAACTCAGTTATCCTCATAGTCACCTTGAGTGGGGATGCACCTACCACCCCCACTGCTAGGATAAAGAAACAGAGGCTCTAAGCTGGGAGAGGGGTTGCCTGAGATCACCCTGAGTGCGCATGGCCCAGCAGGCCCCGACCCCATGCTCCACACTTGGTGGCGCTGTGACCCGTCGCCTTTTTGAGTCCATGCGGCTCTAGGCTAAGTGCTTGGGCTCTGGATTCAGAGATGCAGGTTCCAATCCTGACTCCAACGTTTCCAGCTGTGGGAGTGGAGCCAAACCACTAATGAGGGGCATCTCAGAGCGCCATGGCTGACACCCCAACGCCACCTGCTTGCTGTGTGAACCCGGCAAGTGACTCCATCACTCTCCGTCTCGGTTCTGTCGTCTGCAGCACGGACGTGATAACGGGACCGTCTCAGTGGATCAGTATGGGGATGAAATTCAAGAAAACCCTACTGCAGGGGGAGCGCTCACTTTCCTATTATCATTTTTCTTTATTTGAAGTAGGCTTCATGCCCAATGTGGGGCTTGAACTCATGACCCTGAGAAAGAGTCCGTATACTCCCCTCGCCCGCACTGAGCCAGCCAGGTGCCCCTCTCATTATTTTTTATCATACCCTTTACATGAGCAAATGTAAAGAATACAATATGTACCTTATTACACTCTAACAACTAGGGGGGTGTTTTCAGGCAGGTGAGATCCACAGTGCTCTGGCCACCAAAATCATTTAAGGGGTAAAGGAGCCACACTGCACCTGTGCCTCAAAGCCTTTCATTCATTCATTCATTCATCACATGGGGTCCCCTGCCCCTCTCTCCTCCCCCATTTCTGTTTATCCTAGCCTGTCCGCCTGTTACTCATTCCAGGAAGACCCTTTCCAACTACCCCACTTTCCAGGACCACTATTCCTCACACCCCTTCCAGAAAGCCTTTTCTGACCTCCAGGGTCCTCTACAATGACACTAATCCTGATTTGCTTCACTGCCTAGTTTCGTCTCTCTCTCCCACTCAATGCCATCACAATGTAATGAGCGCCTAGTTTGCCCACTCCCTGGTTGGACCTGTGGCTGGAAAGGTAAGTCTATGTGGATCATGAATTGGGGACTGGTGGTGCACAGAAGGGGCTCATCATGGATATGCCAGGTTCCTTCAGTTCCCCCTCCTCAGATACCCCATCCTTTGATGGGGGGGGCAGTTTACCTGGGCATCCAGGTCATTACTCAGTTCCTGTCCATCTTGCTGCTTTACCCCTGGTGGCAAGAGTAAGTGTAAGTAAAAGGTCCTTGAAGGATCTTGTGGGAGTTTCAGGGTCCCCCAGGGGCCCAGTACAGACCCTTCTCAGATCATTTCAGCGCCTCTTCCTACCCTTAAACCAGATCACACCTCTTTTGCGCGCTCCCGGCTCCCAACCCCTACCAGGTCCCGGACCCCAACCCGCTCACCGTACACGATGGAGCGCCCCACTCCCGTGTGGTCGCTGGCAAATCTCCTCATCAGAGTCCCCGCCTTCCTGGAGGATACCTTCCCATGAAACTTCTCCCGGAGGCGCCGGACGCTTTTCTCCAGCTTGGGGGGGCAAAGGGGGGTTCCGATCGCGTAAGGAGAGGAGCGACTGACCCCCCTCCATCTCTAGGCATCCTTCTTCCAGCCTGAACTTGACCCTTGGTTTTGGTCTCCCCCCCTCCACCCCCGCCATCCCTCTACGGCATTTCCTGGAAAAAGCCAAAGTCCCCACAGGGCACTGGGGGAGGGAGCGGACTGGTGCCAGCGTCCCAGGATAAGGGAGGAGGCTGGCCAGGTAACCGCTGGCCTCTGACCCTTGACCCTGCAGCCCCCGCTTTTCCTTGAGGAGGCCTCATCTCACCCGGGGGAAGTGGCGGTCATTCTCCTTTCCGGGGGAGGCGGGGACGAGTGCCAACCAGGCGGTAGGTCTGGGCTTCGGATGGAGTCCCCAGAAACTGCGAAGCCCCTCCGCGCCCCCGGCCCCTCCTCGGCGCCTCTCGCGAGCCCCCTGGCCCAGCCGTAGCCATCTCCTACCTCCACACCTTCTTGAGACATGGTGGCGGCGGCGCAGTTTCCCGCGAGCGTCCGCACTGCGCTCTCGGAGCCCCCTACCTGGGCGCGCCCGCGGGTCCAGCAGCCGCGCAGGGCAGGGGGCGGGGCCTCCGGGCGTCCCCGCCCTTCCTCCCTGGCCCCCTCTTTCGCTTTCGATTACTGCGGGTGACGGGGTAGACGGGGCGCTCTGGCTCCGCCCCGGCTCCGCCTCTGCTCTTGCGCCCCAGACCCGGGCGGGCGCCAGGGGTCTGCACCCTACGGCGGAGCGCGCGGACCTCGGGCGGTGGAGGCGGCGCGGCCTCTGCAATCGGTCACATGTCCCCACGCTGCGCGGGGTCCGCGTCTTCACGTCCCTCGTGGGGGCGGGGCCGCATCGGAAGGCCGCCGCGAATCTCAGTGCCCCCTCAGCTCGCGGCCCCCCACTTCATCGCTCGCTCTCCTCCCCTCCCTCAGGAATGGAGGACCTGGGCCCCGTGCTCGCTCTGAGTCTCTTAAACGCGGCCGTGTCTTCTTTCCGAACCTCAGTTTACTCCTCTGTAAAATGGGGATGATACAGTGGCTACGTCTTGGCTGTGTGTGTCTGCCAGGATTCGAGACCCGGGGTAGAGCGCGTAGTAGCACCTGGGGTAGGCTAACTCGTCACTGGGCCACCTACTGTGTGCCGAGAAGATGCTTGTTAAAAACAGAGGTTACTGGTCTCTAACAGTCTGGCGGCAGCAGCCTGTAGTCTAGGGGTTCCTGGGAATCTGCACCGTAAATTGGAAGGTGGAGAATCTTCTCCTCTAGCCCTCCCCCGCCCCCCTAAAGTAGGCTCCACACCCAAGGTGGGGCTTGAACTCGTGACCCTGAGAGCAGGAGTCACATGCTCCACCCACCTAGCCAGCCTGGGGCCTCTATTACATAAAGATATTCTTTAACAAACGCACCAAAAATGGAGATTTAAAAAATATAGGTGTTCTAATGTTTTCTCCTTGACCTCCAAAGCTTGCTTTGTGGGTCTCTGCACCCCATCTGGAGCCAATTAGCGAACAGAAACAGTTCACGATTCTTTGTGGCTGAATGTGGAATTTCCAGCAGAGAGGAGAGCGTGGAGGCTGCATAGAGTACCTGGGATTTTATCCTGAAGGAAGGGGGGAGGTGTGGAGGGGAATCTCTTGTTATATAGATACAGGATATATAATATATAGTATGTAATTCCTACTTATGCAGTGGAGAAGGAGGCTGCAGCTAGGGTGGGTGATAAGCAGGCAGGAACAGGTGGGAGACCCATCCAGCTCTAACATGAACCAGGTCTGCTAGATCCCTTTTTTAAAAAGAGATGGAGAGGGACGCCTGGGTGGCTCAGTTGGTTGAGCAGCTGCCTTCGGCTCAGGTCATGATCCCAGCGTCCTGGGATCGAGTCCCACATCGGGCTCCTTGCTCATCAGGGAGCCTGCTTCTCCCTCTGCCTCTGCCTGCCATTCTGTCTGCCTGTGCTTGCTCTCTCTCCCTCTCTCTCTCTCTGACAAATAAATAAATAAAATCTTTAAAAAAAAAATAAAAAGAGATGGAGAGAGAGAGACAGAGAGTGAGAGAGAGAGAGAGCGTGCGCCTGTGGAGCACACCTGGGGGGGGCGGGGGGGGGGCACAAGAAAGGGGGGAAAGAGAGACTCTTAAGCAAGTTCCGTGTCCAATATGAACCCGACACAGGACTCGATCTCACAACCCTGAGATCATGTCCTAAAGAGGAAACCAAGAGTTGGATGCCTAACTGACTGAGCCACCCAGGCGCCCCCAGATCTGCTAGATTCTCATAATAACGGCCATCATATCGAGCTCTTACTCTGTGCCAGGCACTGTTCTGGGCACTGAGCATCGAACAGTCTCATAGACTTTTTGCGCATCAGGAATCTAGGAATGGTTTTGCTGGACTTTCTGGCTCAGGGTCTCTCGCAAATATTGGTCACGATGTTGGCGGGAGCTGCAGTCACCTGGATGTTTGACTGGGGCGGGAGGGTCCACTTCCAAGATGGCTCATTCAATGTGATGGGCAGGTGCTTGCTGTTGGTGGGATGGCTCAATTCCTCCCTCCTTGGGTGCTTGTGTGTACCACCCCCCTCCAGCTTGGCCGTTGGCCTCCCTAAAGCAGGGGATCCAACAAGAGAAGAAAGGCCAGGTGGGAGTTGCATCTTTTATAACTAGTGTTGGAAGTCACACAGCATCACTTCCACCATGACCTTTTGTATGTTAAAATCAAGTCACTAGATCCGGCTTGTGTTCAGGGAGAGGAGAAGCAAGACCCCTCCTTCTGCCGGCTCCCATCTTCCCATCTCTTGCTGGAGCCTCTCACTGGCTGCACCAGACGGTAGGGAGCGCCAGGGAGCCAGCCCCGTGGTCAGCCTCTCAGAGCAGTGGATTCGGAAGGATAAACAGAAGATAGAACCAGAGTATTGCATTTTGGCCACCGTGGATGGACAGAGAAGCAAACATTTCCAGCGATCACATGGGGGCGCTGCCTACCCACCAACAGTTTTCTGACTTTGTGGCCATCTTGGCCTGGTGGAGTGTGGCTTGCAGGTGCGTCGGTAGTCGGTTGGAGTGTTACTGCATTTTATCTTTTGTCTTTATGGAAAGGTGTGGCTAGGGAGAAAAGAGATGTGCAGCTAACAGGGATAAGAACTAGTCCCAGGGCGTCGAGGTGGCTCAGTGGGTTAAGCATCCCAGTCCTGACTGCGGCTCCAGTCCTGGTCTCAGGATTGCAAGATCGAGCCCCAAGGCGGGCAGTGCGCCCAGCGGGGTGTCTGCTTGACATGCTCCCTCTTCTTCTCCCTCTGCCCTTCCCCCACCAAATAAATAAATCTTAAAAAAAGAAGAATAGCCTCTGACATGTTGGTTAGTTGAGTCAAAGATTGAACCCTTACCTATCTATCCATTTGATGTGGTTTTGGGATGTGGGTGAGGTTTGGGGGAGGGGGTGAACTCCAGAGCCGATGGCCACAAAAGAATTCTTGAAACATTTGGTGAAAATGGCAGTTTTATTAACCACGGGGACAGGACCTGTGGCCCGAAAGAGTGGCATGGGGGTTGTGAGGAGGAATTGACTCTATACCAAGCTGCTGAGGGAGGTCAGGACAAAGGGAGGTGTCCAAAAGGTCCTTCATATGCTAAAGAAGATCCTCAGGCTCCTGGAGGCCTTGCTATTATCAAGCTAAGTACGTTTTCCCCTCTAGCAAAGCATTAAGTAAGTTGGAAGTTTCCTGGAGGAAGGTCACACATATGGGGGAGGGGGGGTTGCGAGTGTCAGCCTGTGCTTGGTCCTCAGCCAGGCTTCTGCTCCCTCATCACATCCGTTAATTTGATGGACAGGCGTGGAGTGCATCCTTTGGTGGCGGGTGTGGAGCTGGGTACCATTTCTGCCCTTCTCTCGCTCATGGTCTTAATAGTAAAGAGAAGCACAAAGCAGATGATATCACAAGTAATTATTATATTCGATGTAGGAAAGAATGCTAGGATTCGAAGCCGAGGACTAAGAAAGAATTCTTGAGGGACGCCTGGGTGGCTCAGTGGGTTGAGCCGCTGCCTTAGGCTCTGGTCATGATCCCAGGGTCCTGGAATCGAGTCCCGCATCAGGCTCCTTGCTCAGTGGCGAGCCTGCTTCTCTCTCTGCCTCTGCCTGCCACTCTGCCTGCTTGTACTCTCTCTCTCTCTCTGACAAATAAATAAATAAAATCTTTAAAAAAAAAAAAGAAAGAAAGAACTCTTGATACGTCTTTGGTGCAAAAAGGTGGTTTTATTCAAGCACGAGGATAGGACCCATGGGCAGAAGGAGCTGTACTGGGGTCAGGAGGAGTGGCCCATTATCCACATTCAAGTTGGGAGGGGTTTGGTGATAGCCTAAGTCTCTAAAGAATTTTGGAAGCAAGGTTTCCTGGACCTTGAGGGGGCTAGCTGTTGCTGGGAGAAGGTCATTTATTACTGCGTAATAAAACCCTGGTCATGAGACTCCTCAGATATCTATTAGTGGGCCATATGCTTGGGCGATGATTGCCAACATGTACTATCTTGGGGGGTTTAGAGATAAAGGAAGAAGCTTCCAAAAGAATTTTTATTATAGTAGGCTTTCAGGATGGGGGTTGGAGGGTGGGCTAAGATTGCCTTTTGCCCTTAGCAAAATTCAACAACGAGGCAGTTGAGTCCCGAGAGGAAGGTCACTTTGCCTGTTTCAAGGACTTGTCAATGGGTTGTAGGTAATAAAGTCATTTAATTATTTTTCTTCTGCCTTTGTTTCTCATATCGAATGTATGATATATACCCCCCAAAAAAGTCATTGAGGGGTCCATGAAAAAGGATAACACATGGGATTCCTGACCTGGGCATAGTGGCCAGGGAGGGCTTCCTGGAGGAGGTGCCCCTCGAGCTGAAATCCTAACACTGTGAAACACTGTGCCAAGTGGTTGAAACTCTGTATTTTGTATGATCCTCATAGCACCCCCACAAAGGTGGTGAAGTTAATCCAAATGGGAAAACAGGTTTGGGAACTTACTCTAGTTCTCTCTGAAAGGTGAATTAGCGTTTCCTAGTCGAAGAGGCCCAGCCTGTGCACTTGAGGTGGGAAGCGGTTTGGTCCATTACAGGAAGCTAAAGGCCACTGGTGGTGGGGGCTAGTGGAGGGAAGGGAAGCTCAGGTCGAAAGAAGCCCATCTTTTAGCCGGATCCTTGGAGGCTTAAGCTGGGTGACGGGTTTAATTGTGGAGGCAGTGGACACAATCGGAGCATGTGTGTGCCTCTCATAATTTAGTCAATTTCCCCTCAATTTAACCAAATGAAGAAAACTTGGGAATGCCCAGAGTTGGAGGTTTGGGGAAGCAGGAAATCTCCAAACCGTGAGGGCATCTCTTGGTAGGACGGTTGGGGAGCACAACTTGGCAAAACCTACGAAAGCAATCTGCATGGTATTTGAACCATTTCTTTCATGTTCTGGGTTCTGATGCTTTGACATCTTGGTGGGACAGCCCCTCCTTGGGCGCACACACCAACCATTTGTGTGTATTTCTGCCTGGGGTCTCCATTACTACCTTTACTTTCCGCACTGCATATTTCTCTAACAATTGAATT